CTCTCTCTCTCTCTCTCTCTCTCTCTCTCTCTCTCTCTCTTTCTCTCTCCTTGCTTGCTTGCTTTTTCCTTTCTTCTTTCTCCTCCCTTCCCCTTGTGGTTCTGGGGGTTGAACCCAGGGCTTCATGCACACTCAGTTCCCCTCTATCACTAAGGGACTCTTTCTACACTAGCCCCAACTTAGAATAATGTCTCTTCAAGGTGCTGAGTGTAACTTATTTAATATTTGCATGTGGGTCAATGTTAAGAACTTTCCTGTCACCTTTAGATGCAACTATTCATTTGTGGGTTCATGTCATAACTATTGAATGAGTAGGTATATGGAGATAAATGACTCCGCACCGTACCTGCCTTTAAAAGTAGTAACAGCCAGGGCTCGTGGAGTACTTGCTGTGTTCTAGTTTGCCTTTGCATAGCTTTTCTCGCTGGAGCCTCATAACAGGCCTACAAGAATGTACTGGTAGGGCCTCTGTTTTGCAGAAGAAAACAGGCACAAGTCAGCAAGTCTTCCAAGGTTACAGAACTGGGATGTTGTAGAGTCTGGATTTTAACCCATGTGATTCTATACCAGAGACTGAATTCTCAACCAGTTAGTTATGCAGCTTCAGCTGCCTTGGGCTCTCAAGAGAGAAGACAGATGGGAGGGAGTCAGAGAACATTCAAGAGGTATGTCGAGCTAAGCTTTCCACCACCGTCACAGCCAAAAACCTGACTTTGTTTGAGACTCAGGCGTTCATCAGAAAAGGACTTTTATTTCCACAGTAGATAAAAACATATTGCAGACATGGCTCAAGCAACTTGTATTCAGAATTCTTGCAGCAAAAGTATTTTGTAGTTCATATTTTTCTACTTGGCCTGGGAATATTTGCATAGGTAAAATTGGATATGTGGGAGATGAAAATAGGTCTAAATACAAAATTTCTTCATTGTATATATGCCTTATATTCATGGACTGAAGGTAATTTAGTACTGGCATTTAAAATAATTTTGTACAAATGAAACAAGTTTCTATGGTATAGAATTTTCATGCTGGCATCCTGCTGGTACTCAAAAAGTTTTAGATTTTGGAATATTTGGGATTTTTTAATTTTCATATTAGGGATGTTCAGCCTATATATGGATAATTGAAGAAAAGGAGAGGTCTCAGAGCTGTTAGCTAGATTTCATTTTATTGGGACTAAGGAGAGCTTTTTAGCAAAGAATCCAAAATCGGTTCACTGAGGTGAGCTGGGAGATTTTGGGCTGGAATTTCAAAAGAAAGCCTGGTAAAGATGGCAGGCCATGAAAAGCCAGCCACACCATGCCAAGGACTTATGGCTTTATCCTAAGGGATTTGTATTTTTAAAGGATCATTCTGATTCCAGGATGAAGAATAGGTTAGAGAATAACAAGTTTAGAAGCAAGACCAGCCAGGAGACTTTTGGGACGATTCTGATTATTAAAGATGGACTCTTAGTCCGGGCCACGATAGTAGAAACGGAAATTAGCACAGATCCAGCAGTGCTTAAGAAGGATCACTGTCAGATTTGATAGGCATCAGGACACATATGAGAAAACTTAAGTCAACATGCCACAGAGATACTTACACATCTATGTTTATCACTACCCAATTCAAAATAGCCAGGAAGTGGTGCTGGACTAAGTGTCAATCAATAAATGAATGGATGAAGAAAATGTAGCACAATGGAGTTGTATGCAACCATAAAGGACAATGAAATCATGACATTTGCTAGAGAATAGATGCAAATGGAAATCACGGTAAGCAAAATTAAGACAGACTCAAAAATACCACATCTTTCACGTCAGAACCTAGATTTAAAATTACATATATGTGTGTGTGCATGTATGTATTCATGTGTAGAAACTGCCTCTTGAAGGGGAGAAAGAGATCTTAAAGGAGGTAGAAAATAAGATAATCGAATACATGTGTCAGTAAAGTTGAGGTTGGAGTGCTGAGGAGATGACTCAATGTGTGAGCACTTGATTCGTGAGCACAAGGACCTAAGTTCAAATCCCCAGAAGCAGACCCTAGTGCAGCAGGGCCTTGAGAAAAGCCAGATGCAGTAGCCCACATCTGCAATCACAGTGCTCCTCTTGGGGGATGAGAGGCAGACACAGAGGAATCCCTGGGAGCTCACGGGCCAGCTAGCCTGGCATATGCAGCAGGAAAAAAAAAAAAAAAACAAAACAAGATAAGCAAGCCTGTCCAAACAAGGTAGAAGGCAAGGCCTCACACCCAAAGCTGTCTTCCGATCTCCACACACACACTGTGTGGCATACACGCACCTATATTCACACCCACAAACACCCATGTGTGTGCATGTATACGCAAACACACAGATAACACCAAAGAAAACCAAGGCTGGAAGTAACTGGGAGAAGAAAGAGAATGAGCTGGAAGAGAGGAAGAGCAGGCATGGAGAAAGGCCGTCGGAGGAGGGAAACAAATGAGAATAAGTAAAGTATATGACACAAATGTCTGAACCCATTTTGTATGTTACTTTGTATGTTAACCTAAGAAAAAAATGTTTAAAGATGGTAGGAGAAAGAACAGCTTGGAGGGAAAAGCAGGGGAGTTTGAAGTGATTCAGCTAAGTGGAAATAGCCAGGAGAACAGTGGGTATATCCATTTGGGAAGTACAGGTTTACAAGTAACAGGCAAAGAGATGATAACTAAAGCCGAGGGAGCATGTGGGCCCACTTGAAAGTGTGGAGACTGAGAAAGGAGGAGGCCAGGACCTGGTACAGAGCCTCAAGAAAAGGGGATGGTCCGTTGATGGGGCTATTAAAAGAAAGAGGGCTGAGGAAGTAGTTCAGTTCGTAGTGTTTGCTTAGCACGCGCAGAGCTCTGGGTTTGATGCCCAGCACCATTTGAACAGGGTGTGGTCCCAAAGGTCATTACTCGGGAGACAGGGGAGGCAAGAGGATCAGAAACTCAAGACCATCTTTAGCTGTGATGTCCAAGGCCAGCTTGGGATATATGAGACATTATTTAAAACAAAGAAAAGAAAGAAAAGGAAAACACAGAGGGAAAGACAGAAAATAAAAAGGGGGGATTATTTCACGAGACTGTGAAAAGTAGTTTCAAACATTGAGAGGTGAAGAAATCAATGAGAGCTATCCCTAGGGTTTCTCATTAAGGTTATTGGTGGCTGGGCGGTGGTGGTGCACGCCTTTTAATCCCAGCGCTTGGGAGGTAGAGCCAGGCAGATCTCTGTGAGTTCGAGGCCAGCCTGGTCTACAGAGTGAGATCCTGGACAGGCACCAAAACGACACAGAGAAACCCTGCCTTGAAAAAAAAAAAAGCCAGGAAAAAAAAAAAGAAGAAGTTTATTGGTGCCTTGGTGATAAAGGGTTGAGAGAGGTATTGGAGGCATAATCTGAGATGTGGTAGGGAGGTCTGGGAGGTTGAGGAATTGTCTATATAGACAATTCTGTGGCTGACACGCAATGTAAAAAAAAGAGCAAGGACCTGGGAGAGCTTTGGTTTACTTGTTGGCTTGTTTGTCTACCTTTCGTTTCATAAGCAGAGACTTGGACATTTTAAATCCTGATGAAAGGACTTCGTAGAGAGGGAAGAGAGAATTACAAAGGAAGAGTGAGAATCCCGCTTCACGTGGGTGGGGGGGAGGGCGGAGGGGGGGGTGTCGGGAAAACGAAGGATGGGCCCAGCTGTAGCTGTAGCAAAGAGGAACAGTCCCGGGTGTGGCGGGGAGTTAGGCTTGGGGCTGTGGCAGTGGGAAGTCTGGAAGTTGAGGTGCTTACCAGAGGGTGGCTAACGCCTTCCCTGCCAGTGGGTGTTGAGTCATTTGCCGAGAGTGAAGAGGAAGTGGCAGTGTGGGAGGGAGACATGGATGTTGGAAGATGAGCAGAGGGGAGAAGGCAGTAGAGCTGCTGTGGAGAAGGGAAGGAAAGATGTCACAGAGCTCCAGCAGGGGCTGGCGGAAAGGCAGAGAATGGCCCCCACTGTGGCAAACACTTTTAGCCAAGTCTCCTGCTGACACCCAGGAGCTCGCCTGCAAAGTCCCTTCTTCTGTTCCACAGAGGCATTGGGGGGTAGGAGGAGATGTATACACAACAAATATCAGCGGCTTGACTGACTAGAGCATCGATAAATCGTTCTTAGACTCCATCGTAAATGCTAATGTTTACAGTGGACACGGTCTACACAGCTCTTCAGTATGTTCTTCTATCGCACCAGCGTGATTGTCACGAAAAGCATAAAAAGGTAAATTTGTCAAAAAGAAGCACTGACTCTGGAACTAGCCAAATGTGGGGTTTGGTCCTAGTTGGTGCATCTAGCAGCCACGTGATCTAAGGCAAAAGACCCTCGTGTCTGTGAAATGGCAATACAAATAATTGCTTCTTGAAAATGCTATATTTGGTAGAATAATATCTTTTTAATATTAAATTTCTTTTTGGTTGAGACTGACTCTTGCAATATTGCCCAGATTGGCCTTGAACTCCTGGGTTCAAGCAATCCGGCCTCAGCCTCCCTAGTACCCTAGTAAAGGAAAGTAGTTATTAACTAACTGCCTGGATCTATTCCTTGTCATGTACCCCTGGAAGAGAAACGGGGTAAAGGAGAGAAATGGAGCAGAGCGAGGGGCTGAGTGAGACAAGTGAGACAAACAGGTGTGGCTAAGAAACCATCCCAGTGAGAAAAGCCCTTCACCCCACTCGGTGATTAGGCCAGGCCCTAGACCTGAAGCCAATAGCAAGAGAGGGATTCTCTTCGGGACAACTGATTATTTGTAAATAAGAAGGAGAAAAGAAAGAACCTGGGGGGTGGAGTTCAGGAAGTGCATGTGTGCGAGCATGTGTGTGTGCCGTGTGCATGTATGTAGGGGGTGGAGTCACTGGAGAGGCATCCAGACTCATCAGAACTAAGCCTGCAGGATGAGGAACAGTTTATCAGAGTTAACTGTTCGTTAGTTATTTCTCAGTAAGAACTCACCCCACAACTTTACAGTCAAAACAAACACCATGTCCCCACATTTAGGAGGTCAGAGTCTGAGAGTAGCTTAACTGGATGGCTTTAGCTCTAGGTCTCTGATAAATTGATTCCAGACATCTGCAGGCTTCATTACAACTGAAGCTTCTGCTTCCAAGCTGACATGCATGGCTGTCAGCAGCTGGCCTCAGTTTCTTACCACATGGGCCTCTCTATAGCAATGCGTAGAATATGGTAGCTGGCTTCCCCCACATGGATGATGTTGCGGGGGGGGGGGGGTAGAGAAAGGGAGGAGAAGAAAGGGGAAGCAAATAATTGAACCCTTCCAAGTTGGTTCTAAACCCATGGTTTTGGGCCAATGAGATGGTTCAACATGTAAAGGTCTTGACATTCAGCCTAATGACCTGAGTTTAGCCCACTCTATCTTACACGAATATAGAATCTATGTATTTAGTATAGATCCCAGCACTAGTAAAAGTACAATAAATGTCATGATTATTAATTTTTCTATTTTGAGGGGGGAAAGTACCTTTCTAGATTCAAGACCTAAAGCATTAGATACAGACATTTTGAGAGCCAAACATCAATTTAGTCCATCTTTGTAACATTTATTAACAACCTGACAAATGTAACAACCAACCACTGTGACCCACACGCCTGCTGAGTTACTCAGATCTAGATTGGCTGTGACCATTCTTTTTGCCCTCTCTTTGTAAAGTCCTAATGACCTAAAGACATCCTTTCAAACATGTGTTGCCTATGTACCCGAGCGGTAGCCCCTACCACTGCCTTCCTTGAGGGTCCTAGATGGAGTGGCTTCTGCTAAACTTGAATTCAGACTTCACACCAAATCTGAGCTGAATGGCCTTGGAGAAGAGCCCAATGTCCTGGGAGGCTGTCTTCCTTTATCAGTGGGTCTGTTGGGAGGATTAAATGAGACAAGACACAGTGAAACATTAGTTCAGTGCTTATCCCATGTTTAAATGTCATTTTCCTCTTCCTTTTTCTAGTAAGATATAATACCTCAGTCACTCTCTGGTTAAATGACTACCAATCATGCAGGCTTAGGGCACCTGCTATCTACCACATGATACTTCCTTCTTTGTAAGGTGTTAAGGATTGCTTTGCACATATTAGAACAAATGCTCTACCATTGAGCTCCATTCAAGCAAATGTATTCTTTTTTGCTTTGCTTTGCTTTTTTTTTTTTGTGTGTGTGTGTTGTTTGTTTGAAACAGAGTCTCTTTCTGTGGTCCAGGCTGGTCTGTTTGTTTGTTTTAGAGTCTCCTTGTACAGCCCATACTGGCCTAGATACTCATAATCTTCCTGCCTCAATATCCTGTGCACTAGGACCAGCATGTTCTAAAGTTTGGTATTATTTAGTGATTTTTTAAATTAACTGTGTTTGTTTACTTTTCTTTATTTAATGAGGGTGTGGGGGTGTGTGTGGAGGCCTAAGGACACCGTGCAGAAGTCACTTCTTCCACCACGTGGCTCCTAGAGACAGAACTCAGATCCTTTGGCTTGACAGACAGCAAGCGCCTTAACCTGCTGAGCCATCTCTCCAGGCCATTTTTGCTTTTGTTTTTCTGTGATGGTTGGGTTGAACCCAGGATCTTGTGCATGCTGAGGACATGATTTACCCCTAAGCTGTATCCATGGTCCTAACAGATAATGTTAAAACACTCAGTGAAAGTACGCAGTAATGACCCTGTTATTTATTTATTTATTTATTTATTTATTTATTTATTTATTTATTATGTTTTTCATTTTCTCAGTAGCTAAGTCAATCTCCCTGGATATATTTCTTAAGGGCAAGAATCATTTCTTATTTGTATTTTTGGTCTCTCTAGTGCAGTGGTTCTCAACCTGTGGGTCTTGACCCCTCTGGTCACATATCAGATATCCTGCATATCAGATACTTACATTACAATTCGTTACAGTAGAAAAATTACAGTTATGAAGTAGCAATGAAATAATGTTATGGTTGGGGTTTACCACACCATGAGGAACTGTATTAAAAGGTCACGGCATCAGGAAGGTTGAGAACCACTGGTGTAGTGCCTAGCAAAATGATAATGCACAGGGATTGGCATTTTATCTTTGTTTGCTGACCAAAATTAATATCAGAATATTCAGAAGGGACTGAGGTTAAAACAACATAGGAAGACTTTTCAGTGGAAAATGAGGTAAATTAGTTTGGGAAAAGGAAAAATTGATATTTCCAGGAGACAAATCATGTGAATTATATAGACTTTTTATATTATGTTATATAACACTCTGCATGAACATATTAAAATTAAATGATATTTCAAAACTTTAACAAGATAATAGTGACATAAATAGATATATTTGTAAAATATTTAGTATTTTATTTCATGAGAAGAAATAATATGAAGACATAGTTATAAAGAAATTATAGCATTAATCATATGAATGATTTATTTACCTGGCTTCCCAGGGTGTTTAAGATAATTTTTGCTTAGAGAATCATTAGAGAGATGAAGGAAGTGAGTTTATATTCTCTATTCAACCATGGAGAGCAACGAGGTAGAACATTTAGATCCCTGATAATATCAGTGGGACAAAAGACCAAACAATTGAATACCCTTGCTCCAGTCACATCTGAATGACAAAATATCAACCCTGGATCAATTCAAAACTTAGCCAATTAATTTCTTTATGTCTAAAACTGGGGTGATGACTTCCTGTTTGAATTAGCAGTGCTGTGACTCTTTTTTAACATTTGTGCTCACTGGCACTTGTTCTTCATTCAAAGGTCCATGTCCTGTGTATTAGTTATGATGCTCTGATAAACACCATGTCCGAGGCAACCTGCAGAAGGAAGGGTTTATTTGGGCGTATGGTTCCCGAGGTATAGGAGTCCAGCATGGTGGCTAATTGGCAGGCTTGGTGGCTGGAGCAGCAAGGGGGGAGTTCACATCTTATAAACCACAAACAGGAAGCAGAGGGGGCATACTGGGAATGGCACATGGCTTTGAACCTCAAAAGCTGCCCCCAGTGACATCATTTCTCCAGTAAGGCCATCCATATCTCCTGAGCCTACCCAAACAGCACAGCCAACTAGGGACTAAGTATTCAAATATGTAAGCCCAGTGGGGGACATTCTCATTCAAACCACCACACACACTATCACAGAAATGCCTGATCACACACAGCTGTTTCAAGATCTGGAAAGGTAGACAGGTTGTGACCCACAGCAGGGCTCTTGGTGTTAAGGATGTGTACTGTATCAGTTCTCCAAGAGGTTGATTCTGGACAATTCAAGCACAGTCAGTTTTTCTAGAATCACCTCTCTCCCTTCAAGCTGTGTTAATAAGTTGGGTCCTTCCTTCCAATATCTTCTTTCCTTGGTGGGGATATTTTCTGTGATGACACTGTCTACTTTTCTGCAATCTGGCTTCTATTATAGGGAGAAGGTAATTATAGAATTATCTACTAGACTTATCTACCAGGATGAGATGGGGGCTCAGGAAGTGGGTGGAGAGATCTGTCATGCATGTTACTTGTTACATATTTTTTTTGTAAGTGAAGAGTTTATCGGTTTGTTTTTAGGCTGAATCAAAATGTTCCCATATCAAAACAGCCACATCAAGGCAGCCACATCAAGATGTTCCTAACATCAAAATGACTATATCAAAGCTGCGTGTCAGCAAATTGACGACGACAAAACAGCATGCATCAAAATGGCTGTATCATCCATTGGTGCAGCCTTTGCCATCAAGGGAATGTGCTCTAGAATATGACACTGTCTATGGCAAGATAAAAATAAAAGGCTGAATTTTTGTTTTTCATCAGCGCTTTTGCTTTCAGCTGGGAGCTAGACTTAACTACCAGGTGCTGTGTGACAAAGGCATCATTCCTTATTCCTAATGACCAATATCTCCCATTAAAAAAAATCAGGGGCTGGCAAGACTGTTCAGCAGATAAAGGCATTTGCTGTATAAGCTTGGTGACCTGAGTTCCATCCCCACAACCCTCATAAAGATGGAAGGACAGAACTGACTCCACAAAACTGTCCTCTGACCTCTACCCATGCACCATGGTAGACCCCCATGAGGCATGTACACATACCATACTAATACTACATAAAAAATTAAAAACTAGGTACGAATTTACAGAGATAACCCTGCTTTTAGCATAGGAATTGTGAAACTCCCATACTAATTTTGTAATCATGCTTTTACACTTTGTTCTCATCACAAAGATCTTTTGGAATTATCTACTAAGAATCAGCCAACAAAATGTATGCCAAGGCTGAGGCAGCCCAGAGCCGATCTTTCACTGTCTCCAGCTTTGTGTTCAGTCACAAGCCTGGAAGAACCATAATGCATGCTAAACGCCTTGATCTGATGTTTTAGCAGATACCTAGGGAGCTTGCAAAATCTTCCCTGAAATTTTCTGGTGTGGGAAACCATTCTATCTCTGTTTCTCCAGCTAAGTAAGCTTGGAGATTGGGGAGAATCGTGCACTGAGTATGTGACGTATAGTGGACATGATTTCTGGCTCTAACTTAATTGTTATTTTTTGAGGTATCACTACTTCTTGGCTGGCGGCTCCACCTCAGTCCTTTTCATGTCTTGCATTTTTCTGTCTGACCTTTAAATGTTGGAGTATTTTGCTTCTCAGCCCTGGAGCCTCTTCTTTAAGCATAACTTTACATAACAGCTCATGGTTCAGAGAGGATTGCCTAAGATGTCTGGAGAGCACAGCCTCTCTCTCAACTTGTTCTTGATCAACTTGTTATGTTGTTTTCTTCATAGAATTCTCCATAGTGTGTAACCATCTATTTTGTTCTAATTAACTGTGTTCCCTGCTAGAATGTACCCTCCACAGAGCAAGAGTCTAACTCTTTCCTTCTCCATTTAGTCTTCAGGAATTACCGTGGTACCTGATGCAAAGTGAGTTCCTGACATATATTTGCTGGAGAGAATGGACTCAAGCTTTTTGAAAGAAGAACTCCATTAAGGAGTCTAGAAATTTCTAAATCATTAGAATATGCTGTTGTTTAGAAATATTCCATTCATAATGACCATATATATGTATATAAACTAAAAGGAGTGATATGTAAAGGCAATAACTTGGGAATATTTTGAGACTTCATTGGGACATAATTGTATCAAACTTACTACTTAGATTGTTTCAACCTGAACACTATAGTGACTGTCCATCCAGTTTAGGGATTGGACATCAGAGCTAAAGGTATTCTTTTATATAGGACTTTAACATAAAACAAATGATTTAGTTGAGCAGAAAAAAATCACATGGATTGAAATGAATATCAAGGAAAGAGACAATGAAAGGATCATAAAATTATTCTACTTAAGACATGATTGGACAATCTGGGAAGAAGACAGGTGAGGAGGAGTGGGAGAAAGGGCTGAGCAAAATGCCAGGAGGCTTCACTTAGCTAGGTGGAAACAGAACAAGGAAATCGTGTTTTCAACTTCAAATTGGCTGCGGAAGAGCCCTGCATACTTGCCATAGAGCCCCCGCCACCCCTGAATGGCAAACGCTATCTTTGAATTTCCAGGAAGTGCCTACCACACACAGCTGCCTCTCATGCATTTGGGGTGGGAAATCAGGGAGGGGCTGTAACCCAACCTTGGGTCAGTGCCAAAAGAAGAGAAAGGAACAGCTGCAAGACACAGAGTGAGGAATGGGAACTCGCTGGCAGAGGCAGCACTCAAAGCCCGAGGCTGCCACAAGAATGGGCAACTCAGAGGCATCGCCTGGAGTTTAGGGAGAACATTCGGCTTTCTTCTAAGACATGCAGTGGTTTTTCTGGATGAGTTCCTGTAAACTTTACAGAGAATCCTCTGACAGTATGACTCTGGTGATGCTCTCAATTACTCTTTAGCAGAGTCCTAATGAAAACTCTAGGTAAGGAGCCATGTAA